CGGGGCCTCCCTGGAGGGGAGGGAGGGGCACGAAACCTCATAAATGTCATGGTATTCGAATACCCTGCTCGCTCAGGTGGGGCCTCCCTGGAGGGGTGGGAGGGGCACGAAGCCTGATAAATAGTATGGTATTCGAATATCCTGCTCGCTCAGGTGGGGCCTCCTTGGAGGGGGGGGAGGGGCACGAAACCGCATAAATGTCATGGTATTCGAATACCCTGCTCGCTCAGGCGGGGCCTCCCTGGAGGTGTAAGAAGGTATAGTATGGTGTGGAAGGTATGGTATTGTATGGCAGCTATGGTATGGTATGGTATGGAAGGTGTGGCATGGTAGTTATGATGTGGTAGGTATGGTATGGTAGTGTACGGATGGTATGAAGGGAACGGGAGGTGGGAAGGGGGGAAGGTGGGAAGGAGAGGGTGTTCTGGGAAAACAAGAATCCCACTCAGGATGTGGGGAATTGTACGGTGACGATGTTTCGTGCTCTGTCGGCTATGCTTGATTATTGTTGGACAATATTTCTGTCTTCCAAAATCCGCATGTAGGAGGACATGCCCGACCTAAAACAAGGGCGCCCACGAGGGCGCGAGGCTATTCGCACTTCGCGGTTCGGCGCCGATTCCTCCTCATCCTCCTTTGGGTGGCGGCGCGAGAGCGCGAAGTTGTTCGCGCATCGCGCAACTCGAAGCGCGAAGGTAGGCGCCGGTGGCCAAGGTGTTCGCACGGATTCTTGGGCGTTTCCGCCGGTTGGGGGGGGTCCATCGGCCGCGCATCACCTCAGGACTTCCCAGGAGCCCAGAATCTTCCCGACGGGGTCCGAGTTATGGCCCAGAGGCCAACCAGAGAGATCGGAGATTTTGACACCAGAGCGTCGTGATAGAAATCTCCACACGCGGCGATAATTTCACATGGTCAAATCTCTGATCGGATTCCACTGCGAGTTTTTCACGACGTCGATTTTCACTGGTGGGATGGGAGGAGAGAGAGAGAGAGAGGGTCAAAGAAAGAGAGACCGAGAGAGGGATACGCAAAGATAGTGCGAATAAGAGGAATAATGATACGTAGAAGGAAGAAGAAGAAGAAGAAGAAGAAGAAGAGGGAGAGGGATTGAGCAGAGTTCGTGGGAGAGTGGGGAAGAGCAGGGAGGGGCGGAGGGGGGAGGATGCAGGGACATGCCCTCCCATCACCTCCCATCTTGCACCGCTCCCCTTCCTTCCCCTCGCATCGTCTTCCTCCCGAGGGCGGCTGCGCTGGGGGGTAGATGCCAAGAGAAAGGACGGCCGGACCGAGGTATAAGATCGAGGTCGGTTCGAGAAGGGTACCCTAATGTTTCGTGCTTGTTGGATGTTCTGGTACATCCTGGGTGTCGGTGATCTCATGGTTTGGGGTGTGTTGGCCAGCGGACGGTCCCCTGCTCTTGAAGGATGATATTATGTCCACCCTTGCGGAGGCGAGCCAGGTGCTCTTAGGGGAGCTGGGGTCCAGGCAGCGGCGCGAGCGCGCGCTGAGCATCCCACCTTCACCAAGCTGCGGGGGTGGGATGTGCGTGCGCGCGCCCCTTCCGGAAGCCCCCCCTTGAAGGCTTCTTAGAAGCACCTCTGCTTCTTAGAAAGCGCGGGCCTTGTCTATAAATGTAGGGCCAGCGCCTTCTAAGAAGCAGCCTCCTTCTAAGAAGCTTGCCCCCTCCCCCTACCCCCTTGTGCGCGCCGCCAATGCGCGCACCCCTTCCAGAAGCCCCCTCTTGCCATCTTTCTCGGAGAACGTGTTATGGGGAAGGTGAGGGGGGGGGCAGCGAGGGCTGCAGGAAAGAAGCCTTTCAGGGCCCCTCAAGCGGCCCTCTAGGGCCCAGAAGGGGGCCCTGAGAGCCCGACAAGGGCAACTTCCTCCTCCCCCCCCAAGGTATCGCCCCCCCCTCCATGAAGCGACGCCCAAGTTTCCCCCACTCGTTCCGTCTTCCCCATCGCCCCCCGCTTACTCATCCCACCACACGCCTTCCTCGTCTCCATCCGCATCCCCTACCCCCCCGCCCCGCCTGCCCCCTCGCCTCCCGCCCCGCCACCGTACCGAGGCCTTGCCTCTTGCGGGCGGTGTTGCGTTCTGTCCCCTTCCGCCCCAGACCCTCCCCATCTCCTTCCTCAGCCCCTTTTCCTTCTCCTCCTCTACCTCCACCTCCTTCTCCTCCTCCTCCTCCTCCTCCTCTTCCTCCTCCTTCTCCTCCTGCTCCTCCTCCTCCTCCTCGTCCTCGTCCTCGTCTTCATCCTCCTCCTGCTTCCTCCTGCCCCTCCTCCTCCTCTTCCTCCTCCTGCTCCTCCTCCCCCCCCTCCTCCTCAGCCTCATTCCCCCCACCCCCGTTAAGGTTTCCAGTCTCCCATGTATCCCATCGCATGCCGCGACACCCCCATTTGCATGGCGTGTGTTGCCCAGTTGTGTGCGGCAAACCTTGCCGCCGTGCCCGTGCAACAGCGCATCAGGAAGGAGGCCGAGTGTAGGAACAGCGCATTTCTGACGAGCAGCCTGCATTGTTGCGGGTCGGGATCCCGATCGCGTTTTCGTCCGCACGGTAGGGAGGAAGAGGAGGAGGAGGAAGAGGAGGAGGAAAAGAAGGAGAAGGAGGAGGAGTGGAAGAAAATGAGGATGGGGAGGAGACGGCTTATTGGGGCAGTCTTGGGGCTTCCTGGGCCTCCTGGGAGCTTCCTGAAAGCTTCTTGGGTGCCTCACGGGGGCCTGTTGAGGCCGTTTGGGCCGTCTTAGGGGACGCTTGGCCCGTCTGACGCATATGGAGTCCGCCTTGGGGGCCTCTCTAGGCCGCGTTGGTGCCCCCTTGGCGCGGTTCACGGTCGAGGTTTCTTGGGCCGTTTGGGGCGGTCGGTAAATTTGAACAGGTGAGAACCTCATTTTTACAACACGTATCTGTAGGAAAATAAATGGTGTTGGCTTCTTCGGGCTCTCCAGGAGGGCCTCTCGGAGACCTCGGTGACCGTGTTGGGGACGTTTTGACATGGTTTGAGGTTGCCTTGGGAGCCTCTTGAGCAGCCGTGGACCATCTTGGCGTCATCTTTGCTGCCTTGAGAGCCGTCCTGGAGGTCATGAGGCACCTAAAAAGGTCTCCAAGTGGCCCTCCAGGGGAGCCCCAGGATGCCAAAATTGGTTGTTTTCTGTCGGTGGTTGAAGGAATGCAAGGTTCTGGCATGTTTGTGCTCCCGTCCGCCCAAGTCAGTCCCAGGGGTCTCTCTAGGCCGCGTTGGTGCTCTCTCGGAATGTTCCTTGGACGATCTTTGGATCCTATTGTGCCGATTCGGGACCCTCTTGGGAGCCTCTTGGGATATCTTGAAGATACTTTGGAGTCCTCTTGGAAGCCTCTTGGGCTGCCTTGGGTGGTCGGAAACCCGAAAACGCGAGAACCTCAACATCCTGCAAGTGCTTATGGAAAATCAGTGGTTTTGGCTCCCGTCTTGAGATGCTCTTGAGCTATCTTGGGCCATCTTGAGCCGTTTCGGTGTCTTGATTGTCTTGGAGGCCATCTTGGCCGTCAGGAGGCCGAAACGACCGCCAGAAAGCAATTTCAGAAGGGCCGGTTTTTCATGGGTGCGTGCGTCGAGGAGGGGGCTCTCTTAAAACTCTACAGGCCCTCCCAGACAACAGCCCAGTAACACGCATTCGAACAGGCCCACTCCATACAGGCACGATGGCGGATTCTCCCCTTTCTCACATCCTTCCCCTTCCCATCCTCCCGAGAAGAAAAACACAGCGCAGTGGGAAGGTGTGGGGGTGGGAGTGGTAGGATAATGTCAGATATAGCGCGCGCACCTAGCATGTCTCCCCCCCCCCAATCTCCCGCCTGGGGTCTCTGGCGATCTCCAGAGGTCACTGGGTCCCTCGAGTTCCCCAGAGAACCTCGAGAGCCCTTCGGAGGCCCAGAGGGGCGCCAAGAGCATCCAGAAGTCACGGTCCTCCGCCCTCCTATCGCCTCGCGCCCCGTCCCGTGCCCCCCTTCCCCCGCCTCCATTCCTGTCCGCTCACCCCAGCCCCCCTAGCCCCCCCTCCCAACCCCCTCCCCTCGTCTCCCCCCTCCCCTCCCTCCCTCCCTCTCCGTCTCCTGCGCCTCCCCCGTCGATTTCAGAGGATCCAGCTCCCGAGGCGCTGTCCCTGCTCGTCCTCAGCGCCCCTCGTCGCGCCTCGCTGCTCGTCCTCATCCTCGTCCTCGTCGCCATCCTCGTCCTCCTCCGCCTCCTCCTCCTGCACGTTGTTCTCATCCTCCTCGCCCTTCTCGTCGTCCTCATCATCATCATCATCATCATCAACATCATCATTATCATCATCACCACCACCGCCACCACCACCATCATCATCACCATCATCATCATCACCACCATCACCATCATCATCACCTCCTCATCGCCCTCTCCCGGGTTTCGTTCTGTCCGCACGTGAGCGACGCAAAAGGACGGGGTCGTCTGCGCCGACATTGGCACGTGAGCTGCCCGCGTAAGGTCGCGCGCGAGCGGCTTCGCTTCCGACGTGGCGTGCCGTGCTGGCGGCCCGCGCGTAAGCTGCCGCGTAAGGTCGCCATGCCACCTCTCGTAAGACCCATGTCTTTTCATCGCTCGCGCGGTGCCCAGCTCCGGGCCTCGACGTCCGAGATCTGAGCTCGGTCCGCGGTGTCTCCAGGCCTCCCAGATGCGGTCCGAGCAGATGGGGTCGGAGGATCGCGCCGCATCGCCGATGCATCGGCGGTTCGGCTGGATGTGGAGCCCGACTTCCGCGCTGGCGTCGCCGATGCATCGCCGACGTCGTCGGTGCATCACCGATTCGGCGATGCATCGGCGATGCGGCGCGATCCTCCGACCCAATCGACTCGGAGCTGTTTCGGAAGGCCTATATATATGTATATATGTATGCGCGTCGAGGCGCTGTTTTCACTGCTTGTGTTGCCGAGGGGCAAAGTGCAATCCTTGCGTGGTGGTCCTCCTTTTTGTGCCACGACCTCCGACCCGCTCGAGGCGAGGGAGGAGGTGGACAAGCTCCCGCCGCCGGGAGAGTGCAAGAACCCCAAGTACATCGTGGAGGGCTCCAGGTGACCGTCTTTGGCAGTCGCGCCATTTGGTCGCTGAAATGTCATAAGGGGCGTGGAGACGCATAGGTAACGAACGAACACTATGAGGCGCCTTGAACGTCGTAGATATCACGATCCTACATTCAGGCGGATTGAGGCCACCTGGACTTGCCGGTGTTTTTCGAGGGTGTTGCAGAAGTTCAGGGAACGAGTCCAATTGCTTCCTGGTTGGAAAAGTACCCTGGTTTTCGGGGCGCATGTGGGCGGTGGCACTGGGGCCTTCGGTGGAGCTCCCTAGGGGCCACGAAAAGTGTCAGGGGTGTGCCAAATTGGGTTTCAGGGACACATGCGGGCGGTGGCACTAGGGCTTCCGATGGAGCTCTCTATGAAGCCACGAAGCGTGTGAGGGGTGTGCCAAATTGGGTTTTCAGAACGCATGCGGGTGGTCCCACTGGGGGCTTCGGTGGAGCTCCCTATGGGGCCACGAAACGTGTGAGGGGTGTGCCAAATTGGGTTTTCAGAACGCATGCGGGTGGTCCCACTGGGGGCTTCGGTGGAGCTCCCTATGGGGCCACGAAACGTTGTATTGGGCGCAGGGAGTAGGGAGGAGGGGGAGGAGGGAGGGAGGAGGAACGCGGGGACCGTCTTCAAAACGAGGACCCAACACCACAGGATGTTTTGGAAAAAACATGAACTGTCGCGGAAGTGACATGGGAGGCGCACGCGTTGCGTGCTTGACAGAACACCGACATAAAAGGGCGAGGCGCCCCGCGGGAACGAAGTTTAGCCCCAAATCCCACATCACCCAGAAATTGCCGCCATTCTTGGCCCTCGAAAGTATCACGTAGAGACGCAGCTACAGGGCGTCCAGGTCGTCCGCGTCCTTGCGCCCAGCGTCGACAACAGCCTTCGAAAGTGGCGACGGTTTCACACTTCGCAGCCCCCCAGGGATGGCGAGGTCTAGTCTGAATCCGCGCGGGTACCCACTATGTTGCCCCCCCCCAGCAGCCCACCAGGGCTGGCGAGGTCTGATCTCTTGGGCCTCATTAGCCCTCTTGGAGCGGAAGGCTCGAATTGTCGGTTCGTGTTCACACTCTTGGGGCCATCTTGGGCATTGTTGGGCGCCTCTTGGACCGTGTTGGAACCCTCGTGGCGGTCTTTTGGGCCGTCTTGGGGCAGTCCTGGTGGCCTCTTGGGTTGAATTGAGACGTCGTAAGCGAAAATGCGAGGACTCGAAACCCGAAAAAATTTGAACAACTTAATTTGTACGTCTCGAGGCCCTCTTGGGAAGGCTCTTGGGGCTCTCCTGGGACGCCTCGAAGGCCTCGTGGGCCGTCTTGAAGCCATCTTGGGCCGCTTTGAGGCCAAAGTGGCCAGTCTTGGAGCCATAGTGGGCCGTCTTGGAGGTATCTGGGCCTCGGGAGCGCGAATCAGTCGGATTTTGTGTGGGATTGTGCCTCAGGAAGAGGGAATGGTTCGCGCAGTTGGGTGTTTCCCGACAGTGTGGGGGCGGTCCTGGGAAAATCACAGAAACCTTACCAGTCAGCATTTTACAGTTTAGCACGCCACAACGTGCCAGGGGGAGCACGGTGGCACATATATATATAGTGTGTGTACATTGTATTATTAGATGTGTAAATACATATACACATGCACATGCACCTCTCGACAGATATATATATATATATGTACATATACATATTTGTGTATATATATAGACACGCAACTATACAATGCATCTGCTCAAACATGCATATGTATATAGTTTTTAGCTAAATAAAATCGGCATTGCATAATGCACACACATGGCCCCAGAGTTGATCGAACTTGCGAGTTATCATAGCTGTGTTTTGACATGTTGCGCAAGTGTCATCGAAGGACGAAACTTGGGATAGGGAGTGCGGCCGAATGTTTCGGAAGGGCGCACGTGTTTTACAACGCCAGTGACAAGCCTTTCGAACGATTGTTGTTGGCAGAGACGTTCATGTTCGTACATCAACACGAGCGCGCATCAGTCGTAAGTTTCTGTATCGTAGCTCTCAGATTTACGCGAATATAATCCGTAGCACCTTCTGCTCAAGCTAACTTCTCTCAATGAGAGCTCGACCACTTCTGGCTCGAGACTGTCGGCAGATTCTTTAATTCCCTTCTCTGTCTCACCCTCAGCATCCTACTCCGAAGCCGACCCCGCCAGCCGACGACACCCGCTAACACAACCTAGAGCCACATGAAACCTCATCCTTCTTCCGCTTCCTCCCCTTGGGCGAAGAAGATGAAGCCGACGACGACGACGGCGACGACCGAAATGTGTTGAAATTAAGGCTCGGGATCCCTCACGGCGTCCATCGGCGTCCATCCTGGCCAGTTTTCCGAGCAGCGTCCAGCCGGGGCGACGAGAACCCGCAGAAACGCTCAAACACCTTCGAATCGACGACGACGACGCCGACGACGATGAAGCCAAGGTCGACGACGACGGCGACGACGACGACGCATCCGACGACGACGACGGCGAAGCCGACGGCGACGAAGGCGTCGGCGACGCCCTCGAAGGTACCGGTACGGCTTCATGGAGGGCAACCGCCTGGAGACGATCCATTTCCCCGGCGAGGCCCCCCAGCGCGGTTCGCTGCTTCGTTTGCAGGAGGTGGGTGGAGGAGGAGGAGGAGCAGAAGGAGGAGTAGTAGCATCAATGGTAGTAACAAAAGTAGTAGAAGTAGTAAAATTTGTGGTTGAAGTAGTGGTTGTTCTTGATGATGATGTTGTTGTTGGTGTTGGTGTTGTTGTTGGTGTTGTTGGTGTTGCTTGCTGTTGCTGTTGTTGTTGTTGCTACAAGAGGGGCAGGCCCCCCCGGGGGGGAGAGGGGAGG